GCTTCAAAGACTACACATCACCTCGGCTGGACCAATTTGCATTGCTTAGAGCCAGTTGAAGGGATAAGGGAATGTCCTAGCCAGCTCTGTACACATCAATACATGGAATAGGGCCAGGTTTAGCCAAAATGGAAATACTTGGCTCTTCTTTCAAGGAGAGTCATCCAGATGGTCCTCCACAAATGCTATTTAAGCAGGTGACCTTGGGGCTTGCATTTAAAAACATTAATTTCAAGGGGTAAAGGCAAATCTAAAGTGGGTTAGCACAAGCCACCTCTAACTCCTTATTTCCAATAGATTGACTTTTCTACTTTATTAGTTCAGGTGTGTGATCCATAATGAATACATTCTTTGGATGCCAACAGATTTTAGAAAAGTCTAAAAAATAGTTGGGGGTTTCTGTCATTTGAACCTTGGGATCATTATGATTAAATCATTGGATCCATATGTCTACAGGCACTGCACATGATCAAAGAATATCTCTCGAGTCAAACTGAAACAGAACACTAGAATGCCCAGTAATTCATGGAGACCTATCACATAATACTGATCCATAATTAGTCACTATGCTGTAGCAACTGGCATGTCATAAGAAGTTACCTATTGTATAATGTAAGTGCTGAGTATTAAAAATCGTGGTGCTGATTTCAGTAAGCTAAATGTACTTTAAGGTATGTCTTGTGGATATCTTTTTTATTGATTAGTTTTAGCTTCAGTTAGCTAACTGGCAAGAATATAGTTTTAATGGGAAAGAAACAGCTTATCTTTTTGGGGGAGGTGTATTTACTAGGAATCGAATTCAGGACCTCGCACTTGCCAGTCAGGCGCTGCACCACTGAGCTGGTGGTGAACAAATTTCACCAACAATTTAATTTTAACAGCATTATTTCTGCTAAAAGAAAGTTCATGCTTGGCTGGCATTTCCAGGTCTTTCACTGTATCCATATAAATCAAATTGTAGCCAGTTAAATAATTTGTACCTTGGCAGAAGAATAAGAAGCCATAAAACTATGTTTTATTTACAAAATTACAAGTAAATTTGCAAATATGCTTATCGGGGGGATGGGGTTTTACTGTGTAGTCTAGGCTAGCCTTAAATTTAGCAGTCCTCCGTGTCAGCCTCTTAATTACTGAGATTACAGGAAGGTGCCAGCATGCCTGGCTCAGTGTGAATTTTTAAAAGAAGTATATAGAAGCTGGGTGTGGTTAGACACTTTTGTAGTCTCAACTCTCAGTGAGCTTGAGGCAGAAGCACTGGAAGTTTGAACCCAGCCTGAGTAATTTAGTAAGGTCCTGTCTCAAAACTATTTTATTTATTTATTTACTTATTTATTTATTTATTTAGTCTTTTTGAGACAGGGTCTTACTGTGCAGTTCAGGCTGGCCTTGAGCTCACTTTGTAGACTAGGTTGGTCTTGAACTCGCAGTGATCTTCCTGCCTCAGCCTCCCAAGTGCTGGGATTACAGGTGTGTACCACCATGCCCAGCCTCAAAACAAAAATTTTAAAAGGCTGGGGATGTATCTCAGTGCAGAGGTCCTTAGTTTCAATCCCTAATACCGAAAGAAAGATCTACGTATTATATATATATATATATATATGTATATAATTTCTTCAAGACTATCTCATAGCCATCTACATGGAAGATAGAGAATTTTTGCAAAGAAGCAAGCACAAAGGGGAGAACAGGAATATGACACATAACTGTAAGTTATTATTAAACAATTAGAATTCATTGGGAATGCCACTTAAATTATTTTTAATACTTCGGTCTTTTAAAAATAATTTTGTCTTTTGACTAGTGAATTTAACTTACTTTAGAATGGATATGTTATGTCTAGTCCCATTACTGATTTTTACCACTCTATGATAGCATGTAGAAACATACAGAAACTGACTCCTATGTATTTGGTTTTCAAACTTAAAAGATGTGAAAGAGGTTCTGTAAGCCAAACACCTTAGAAAATAGCATTGCCTTTTTGCTAAGCTTAGGTTATACATGCATAGATATATTTCTATATAGATATACTTTATACAGTAAGTATCTAAAACTGTGTAACACTTTGGAATGTAAACAGTTTGAAAACTAGTGAGTCCAGTTAGTCAACACTAAATTGTCTTACAAAATTGATTCTGGATTTTTTCCACAAAATTGATACTGGATTTTTTCAAAATTAAGCACACCCATATATGCATGCAGACTGTGAGCATGCATATGGGTACAAAGTCCTTTAAAAACAATTCAGCTTTCTTTTATAAACACTGAAACATACTCTGCCTGTAAAATGTTTTTGCTGAAGCTCATATCATTGATTCAAGTTTCTCTTTATGTTTGCGATACCGTTAAGACTATGCATGTAGATTTTTTCAGTTCCCTTTACCCCTTCAATAAATAATTTAACTTTTTAAAAAACTGGTTTCTACAAAATACATATTTAATATATTCAGCATATACAGAAATTAAGTCATTCCACTAAAAGGAATTCCTATTTTGTAAAAACTTTTAATTGTATTTCAGAGTATATTAAAATCTGATGAATAAATAAATGGTTGAGTGGGTTTAAATGAGTGTTTTTAGTGTATTTACTTATTTAGTGTTAACAGTTCAGATGCTGGTAGAAGGAGAGTTATAAGAATGAGGTTAACAGTTTTTTAAACCTGTTCCAATTGAAGTTTGTTGGCATTTTTCAATTATGTATATTAACGTGATGGAACAGTTACTTGTGATTGAAACTAGCAATACCTTATTTTCATTTTCCTTGTGCTGAGTGCCACATTCACAGCTTTAGCAGCCCACCCTTCCAGTCTAAGTCAGACTAGGACCTTGAAAACTAAGCTAATATGATCCTTAAAGATTGGTTTACACCACCACTGTAAAGTACTTAAAATATTAAATACCACTAAGACGGGTCATAGTGACACTTCAGTCAGGAATCAGCACAGCATAGTGGGTTGTGCTCACACCTTTTGGGCAGGCCTGGTTGAAGGTAATTTGAGGAATAAATACCAAGTTACCCACAGTATCCCTGCCTCTGTTACTAAGTGTCTTAGTTTTTCTTCCTTGAATACCATTTGGGTCTCTTCTAGCATTCCTACCCTTAATACAACCTTAAGTTTTCTCTCTGCTGTTAAAACATCCCAATATATTTTCTTTTAATTCAGTGCCCTTTGGTATTTGATGACTTCATAACTACAGGATCCTTTTATCTGTTAAAAAGTATATTCTCTGTTTGTGATTTCCTCTAATTACGGCACACTGAAAAGGGTGCCTCTTCCCCAGAGATAGCCTTCCCTTATGATGTGCTCTGCTAACGTGCCCCTTTGACCCACTCAGTTCACGCATGTGAAGCTACCAGAGGAGTCTATCCAACACCTACCACCTTGCCTGGACTTCATTGGTTCGCTCTTGCTTATCTACCAAGAAAAAAAAAAGAAAAATTTCCAAAGTTAAGCCATACAAGGTATAGCTTACGCCTACTTTCCACCTTGTTGCAGGTATTTCCTAACTCAGCCTGAGTGCTCTTTCCCTGTTTGTACCATGCAGCTTCCCACCTCTGGCTTTACTGAAACTCTTCCTTCAGCCTGGAGCCCCATGACTTCACTTGGCTAACTCCTGTTCGTCCTTGAAGGCCTCAAGTAGGCGTTCTCCAAGAAGCCCGTTACCTCCATCCTGTACCAAAGCTATGGTGTGGTGAGCCCTAGCTGTCTCTACTCCTGTGATCTTTTTGCTCTTTGTGGAACCCAGTATAGCTTGCTGAGCCATGGAGGTGGGAGGTGCTGTACAGAACTGTTGGCATGTATTTTGCTTTAGTTAATAAAATGGCAGCCATTTTACAGACTGAGCATGCAAAATTCAACTGCAGGACGTAGATGATACCAGAGAGTAGCTTGACCATTACATGTCATTACAGTGTATGCCTTTTCATCCTTTTTTTTTTCTTCAGACACCTAGCTGATAGAACATTCCATTAAGTGGAGGTATTTGATAACCAGGCTCATCTAATTACCAGGTTTTTAAAATTCTGTACCTTTTTACAGATTTTAACTGGCAAACACACGTATAGTAAAAGATGTACAGTATTTAGAATATGGTGGTATGGCATCAAGACCTTTCTGTCATCTCAGAATGCTGTTTTGGGAAACTTTATTTTCCTTAGGAATGTTTTTCTTTGTCAAACTTTCAGCTGTGAGATTCAAAACTGAAATGTCAAAAATATAAAATATTTGCTCATTTTCCTGATCTGATTTTTTAGTTTCTAAAGACAGTCCTTGTTCCTGAGCCATTTCCTTCATGTCATTGTAAATAAACAAACTATTCCTTAGTTGCTGTATTGCCAAGCAACACTGTCAGCCTATTACTCGGACAGTAACTTATTCATAATTGGGCGACATCAGCACCCTGATTTGTACTGCAAAGGTAAAGATTATCATGCTCCTTCTTGCTCATTGATTGCTTATTGGAAACAGATTAAAAAGAGTGTGAAGATCTGCTTTTCAGAATGCCAATGAAGTTCTTACCCACAAGTCTGATTTTTCTTCAAATACATTTTTCTTTAGTAGACTCTTAATATAGGGCTGCCACCTGTTAATTACATGACAGCATAATTTATAGATAAAGAATTCCTTATGATGTACCACAGTGAGTTTTGATGATGTTTACTTTAAGTCAGATTCCATTATATGACCTATTTTTGTGTTTTGTTGTTGATTTGTTTGTTTGAGATAGGGTCTTGCTCTGTAATTCAGGCTGGCCTTGAACTCACCATGTAGCCCAGGCTGCCCTGAATTTGCAGTGATCCTCCTGCCTTATCCTTCCCGAGTGCTGGGATTACAGGCCTGTGCCCCCACGCCCAGCTTTCTGGATACTCTAGAGTGCATATTTGCAAGACTGGGAAGAATAAAGGTTAAGAACAATTGAATTCTGTACAAGCAACAGAATGATTGGAATGATTTTGGTTGTGACTTGAAAAGGAATCCAAGTGTACAGTTGAGATCTCTGGCAAATTTTAAATATTTTTCATGTTTATTTTGTAATAGCTTGGGAAGACTTATAGTAGGCCTTATTATCAAAGCAAAAGCAAATAATAGAGGGATTGTTATGGTACTGTAGATTTACTCTTTCAGTACATTTACACACACTAGGTAAAGGTCTGGAAAGCAGCTGAGAAATTCTTTTATGAGTGCCTAGAATAACATCACTCGGGTTGAATATAAAATACTTTGTGGTCCCTTGGCATCAGCACGCTTCATGTTGCTTCGGTTCCACTCTCAGTTCTTACCTGACAGCACCTAAGGAATGAAGTGATTCACACCATGCCCAAGATACGGGCAACCCACCAGCTACATGGCATGACAACCCTGCATGCTGAACGACAACCTTGATAATTATAGGGCCATGGGTTATAGCCCCCAAGGGGTTCACAGATCTTCTGGCAATGAGTGTAGCTCCGTCTGCATTCAATACAGCAGATTCCTTCATGGTCCAGTCTGGGGTCGAATGTCATGCTTTCCCCTCCTTGCTGCTGTGAAATGAAAGAGAATTATTTGCATTTTCTTCATAATGAGAAGTTATTAACATGTATATAATTTTAAAGTAAGATTCTGAGTTTTTCTTCATTACAAGAAATCAGCATAATCTGTTCTAAGGAGTTTTCAATCTCATCGTTGCCATCATTCAAAATTCTTCTGATATCTGTCATAGTTAAAAAATTGTGGGTTTTTAGCCAAGCAGGCATGTTGGCACATGCCTGTAATCCCAGCACTTGGGAGGCTGAGGCAGGAGGGTCACTGCAAGTTAGTGATCAGTCTGCACTACAGAGTGAGACCTTGTCTAAAAAAAAAAAAAAAAGTTGTGGGTTTTAAAAAAAAGATCCTAAAGTTTCTCCATGACTTTAATGAGCCATGATTATCACTCTTACTTATGGCTCAATTGGTTTTAAATAAGAAAACAAAAGAGAAACATTAGAACAAAAAAAGAGGATTTCTGCAACTTCTGGGAGTAAGTCAGCTAAACACTGACGCGTTGTGTAGTAATGGCTTCCAGGGCTCTTGTGTCCCCATTCTGCATCTCACTGAGGTACAGACAGATTTCCATTCCAGTTCTGCTGGCTCTCAAAACGATGCTAGGCATCCTGTCAGCAGCAGAATATGGGGATATTACCTCCCCAGAGACATGAGGGTCTGTAACACTGAGGAAAAGCCTACATATATGTAGACATTCAAGATCTTGTGTTACCAAACAGAAGATCATATATTGATGAAGCAGAAGTCTCCATTTTCAGTGCTAGAGAGTACCAAAGTAGAAGGAACTTGCCTTTTGCTGTTTGCAAATCTGCTTTACCTTTTCTGTATTATCTAGGGTTCAAGATTTTGAATACTCTTTTGCCCATATCTTTAAATTCTCTTAAATTTAGCCTCTTTCCTGGAGGTGGCTGATTTTTTTTAAAAGTTTTAATATTAAATTGTGGGGTACATATTAAAACCTTCTGCTATACAGGACACTGAAGAAAATTGTGCACTGAGCATCAGCGTACTTGTCTAGATTTGATGGCTCCTAACCAATGGTCAAATTTGCTTGTTCTGTCTGAAGTATTTTAAAGTAAATTCTGATGTGGATTTAAAAGTTGAAGGCATTGTGACACTTTACCCATGAATACATAAGAATGTACCTCCAAAATGAAAGAACATTTTCCTATACAACACTATTATCCCTAACAAAGTAATTTCATAATAGTGTCTGATACAGCCTATGTTCAAATGTCATCAAAATACCTACTTCTGTATCTTACTCTGTACCACCATTCCTGAGAATATTTTCTCATATCTTGAAATAGGTTCATCTGGGACAACAACAAAACAACTGCCTCATTAAATATAGCTAGCTTCTCTGGGGCAGATGTCCAAAAACAAAAAACAACAAAAACTCTATTAGTTGAGGTATCTCCTCACCTGAGCATTCAATAAAAGTTTGTTAGGGTTAAAAAGTCGGGAAGGAATGGGTTGTTGCTCCAAGATTTTTCCCTAAAGGAATATGTGAGGGCTGAGGCCACAGTGAGACACGCTTTAAGCATTTTTGCTTATAGGTCAGCATATAATAAAGGAAAAATTTGTATGATTGGAATTTTTTCAAGAAATATAGATTGCTCAAATATAGAATTGGGGCAGAGTCGTATCTTGCCCTTTAGTAAAGTGCCTGATGCCCTCATCCCTTGAACAGATTCAGCCAACCCAGCTACCTAGGGAATAAATTATATTAAATTTTGTTTGCCTATTTAGACTTGTTCTTTGAGCGGAATGAAATACTGGGGTATTCTGAATTTTCTGATAAGCCTTGAGTTATTCAGGAAATACTTTCTGTTCTATATCTTTCTAAAAATATATTAGTCTAAAATGATAAACTAGAGGCCAGGGATGTAGCTCAGCAGCACAGTGCCTGCCTAGCAAGTGCATGGCCCTGAGCTCAATTCCTAGTACCAAGAAGAAATGAAATAAACTAGAAAATATGTGTGTAACATGAAGCAGTGTAAAATTTAATAAGCTACACAGAAAAACGCATAAATGATGGTGCATGAAAAGGTGTTCAGCCTTACACAGAGCAAGCAGAAGCTAAAATTTACATACCCAAGGGTTTGGCAAAGATTTAAAAAAATATCTATATGTATCTGTCTGTCTGTATATATGGGGAGGGGGAGAAAAGGAGGGAGGGAGAGAGCACCAGCCTTGAGTGCAACCATAGCACCTGAAAAAAAAAAAATGTTTGATAGTATATGGTTCCTTAGAGGGAAATTGGGTAGCCCCCATTGAAATGTAAAACTCCATATATTTATGCTAAAGATTTAGACTTACATTATGCTAAGGCTGTTACCTGGCCTGTGTATGTAAGAGGTAGAATACTAACACCTAAAAGGAGCAAGTTAGGGCTGTGTGCCAAGCCCCATGCTAAGATCCTCACCTGCATTACCTCATACTCCTTCCCATAGCCCTGCTGTGCACAGGGTGGTGTGCTCCAACAGTATTTGTAATAACAGAAGGTAGGGAAGTAATTTATATGTTCACTAAGCACTAAATTTCTATGTCTATCCATATGTTGGGATAGTACTAGATGAATAGAGGTCATTAAATGAATGAGAGATTGTTTTGTGGTGCTGGGAATTGAACCTAGGACCGTGTTCCTGTAAGGCAAGAGCTCTACCACTTCTACCACTGAGCCACATCCCCAAGCCCTGAATGAGAGATTATATAGGAGAGACAAAGTAATCTCCAAAATGAATATAAAGTAAATTAGTTAGAGATATGTAGGAGATAAAGAACAAGTTCCAAAATACAGTAACAACAGAAAGCAAAGTGTAGAATTTTTGCATTAAGGTGTGTGTGTGTGTGTGTGTGTGCAAGCGCGTGCTAATTCAAAGAAGCAGCTAGTAGGCTCCTCTGGGGAGGGGGTCTGCAGTGGAAGGGAAATTTGGCTTTATATTGTGCCCTTGTGTGTTTTTAAAGAAATTATGTACACATCCACATTTTAAAGACTAGTTACAGATAAATATTATTCTACTTTCACTTCCTGCAAAGTGGAGTAGTGTTAAATAATAATTCCTAGGAAATTTGAATCGTTACCACCCTTGGTGCTATTCTCACAAACATCTTTTCTCAGGGTTTCAGTCTGAAGTATTTTTATCTGTGTATGAGTCTCTCCCATGACTGGACTGAGAGCCCCTTCAGGCAGAAGTTACTCCTGACTGTGGGGCTGGGGCCTGGGAAGAGCAGGAAATCCACAAATGTCTGTTGGATGATGAGTAAACTGATTTAAAGAGAATACTTTCATTCTGTGTACTGCCTGTAGGGCATACTCTGGAACATTTCTAAATAATCAAATTCCTGATATGAATGTGTTTTCATGGATTTTCCTGTGACAAAAAGGAGAGCTCCACTTTGAATAATGGTTACAACCAATCAGGATTTCGCACTACAGATGTGATGCTTAAGTGTTTTTACCCTTAATTACAAATCTTGCACCAAAGCGTTGATGTATTTTTAAAAGAATCGAGTAAGAGGTGCTTGCATGAAACCTCAAACAGAAACACCACTGCAGCGTGTAGCACATTCTTCTGAACGTGTCACACAAACACCCGTACGCACATGGTAAGGATTCTCAGGATTGAAGTGTTCTTCGTCCTCTTGAACACTGGGTCTGGTTTCATTATACAGTCTTCCAGGCCCTGGGTTGCCCTGTGGCCCACCGTGTGGCCGCCTTGTGGTCGTCGGAACAATTTTTCTTACCACATCCCTTCTTTCTCTCTGGATTTCTGCAAAATTTTTAGTTTAATAATTAAGGAAATTAGGTTTACGTTTTTTAGAGTAAAAAGTACAAGAAAGGATATCAAAACAAACATGACTAGAGACTTAAATATTTGTAGCGATGATGTTTGTAATAATAGGGCATGTTTTAGAGACTTCCTTTCTTTGTTAAACCTATAGTTAACCTGTTTTGATTTTATGATACTAATTGGAGCAGACATCAGAAAATGGTTGACCAACCTGCATTCTTGGCTTCTTTTTTCTTTGCTTGTCTTCACTATGGGAGCTGAGTAAATAAAATCTATTCCTTTTCTTTGCCTTCTTTGCAGTTAGAGTATACAGGTGAGCTATTTCTGACTAATGAAATATAAGCAGAGTATGCTAATGCAATTTATGGGAAAGCTTTTGCTTTTGTAGGAAAAGGACAGATACAGCTTTCTGTATTAATGTCCTTGCACAAATGTAGATCTGTCTTATTCACTTTCTTATCACTGAGACGAAATACTCAGCACCTATGATTTAAAGGAGAGGTCTGTTTTGGCTCATACTTTAGAGGATTCATTGTGGAGTCAGCTGACTCCAAGGCAAAAGAGGTCGGTGGAAGGGGCTGGCATAGAGAAGCTGCTCGTGTCTTGGCAGCCAGGAAGCAGAGAGGAAAGGGAGGAGCCAGGGAGGGAGATACATCTTTCCAGTTCGCACCCCCCAGTGACCTACCTCTTGTAACCAGGCCTCATCACCTAACAGCACATTCTACTCTGAACTCTTCAGTGGATTAACCCACTCACGATTATAGAACCCCGTATGGTCCAGTCACTTTCCAACAGCCCCACTTCTGCACATATGAAGCTTTTGGGGGACGTTCTAGATCTAAACCACAACCGTGTGATTATCTGGAGTTATGAGAGGCAGCATGATCATGAAGTGCTAGACACCAGGATGATAAGCCAGCGTCTTACAGACAGCAGAACAGTGAACTAGAAAAGAGACCTGGTGGTATGAGTAGCTGGTACTGCCAAAAACCTCTTAGCTCCAGGATTATGACTATAACATACATCATACATACATATATACAAAGTTGAAACTTGGTCAGGTAATTTGTTACTCTCAGCCCTATGTATTCCTAGTGCATTGACTGTGTGGGTATATAAAGTTTTGTAGTTTCCATAGGACATTATCTTGGTTGATTCATATGGGACAGAGAAAGCATCAAGGCTTGGTCAAGATCTCAGAATGAGTGGTGGATGTAGGACCTAGAGGTAAACTTTCTTCCAACCCAGTGCTCTGGTTAACTGTATTGCCTCAGATCCTGCAGCACAACTGACACCTGAGTAACAAAGATGGAAAGTACCATATAGTACGAACTGTGGTATCTCCCTGGACCTTAGTTTCTTCATCTGTAAGATGGGGATAGTTGTATCTAATTTATGAAGTAGTCAGAGGGTTAATGAAAATCTGTACCTGCTAAAACGTGTTTGGCATATAATAAGCTCTTAAATGTCAGGTGATTGTCTTAGTTACTTTTCTGTCATTACACAATAGTCCACACTCAAAGTTAAAGGAGGAAAGGTTTATTTCATTTAGTTTGTAGAGGTTTCAGTCCATAATTGGCTGGCTGCAAGGCAGGGTGGCTTCACAAAGGAAAACAGTTCATGGTGGGCAGAAGACAGCAAAAGCAATGAGAGATCTTAATGGCATCTTTCTGAGCCTTTTATCCAGACTACTTTGGGAAAGTAGCACTCACACTCTTAATCCTAGTGCCCTTGAGTCTAGTACTGCACCATGAATCAATTGAAGCTTCACACACTAGATTCAGCCACTGAAAAAGCCCTACTTATGACTGCATGGGGACATCTAGACACAAGTCGTAAATGATTATATCATGCTTTGTTATTTATGAGAACTTGTATGTGTTTTAAAGCCATACTTGGCTTCATTTCACAGCTCCATGTTTTTTTAAGTAGCTAAATTAACTCAGGCAAACTAATCTCTCTGAACCTTAGAAGTGGAGTAGGTAATCCAGCATTTGTTGGTAAAGATGGAGGATAAAACGTGCTCTAGGACAGTGTCTGGAACACAGGTAGAGCTCCGCAGACGTGTGCACTCCCCCTTATCTTTCTGATCCGTGTCCAGCCACCATTCACAGTGGCTAGTCTGCAACATTGATGACTGCTGGCTTCAAGATTCAAGGCCCAGGAGCTACTGGATTCTGGAGTTGGAGGGTTTTATTAGAATTAGATGGGGAGCCATACATCATCATGTGAGGGAGATATATTTTCTTGGTTTTATTCTAAAATAAACTGAACTTACGAGAGAGAAGGGGGAAACACCTTTATTTTTAATACGATATTCCATCCTATGGATATACCAACATTTATTTAGTACGTTTCTAATTTGGGTTCTACTTTTCTGATATATGTAATATTTATACATTTTATGAGGTGCTAGGGATCGAACACCTTGTATGGCAGGCGAGAGCTAGACAATCTCAGCCCGATATGTATAGTTTTTGTACGTATGCTGTGATGTCTGGGATACTTAGATGTGGTTATGCTGTGTTGCTGAGTGGTGAGGGACCAAGGGACATCTTGGATGTAGCGAGAAGAAGCTACTTCCCAAAGAGGAGGTTACTCCCTGTGCCTGACGTTTGAGCACTGCCAGTAGTACTGTGTTCCCATTCTCCCTTCCCTCCGTTTGCCCTGCATTATTTCTGCACAGCACTTTGTATCATACCATACAATTTTCTTAATTTAGCGTGCATTTTATGTCTGATTTTCCTGCAACACGAAACTCGAGAACATGCATTCTTGTCAGTTTTGTTCACCAGTGCACCTCACGCATCACAGTGTGGCACACGATAGCCCTTCATGAGTTGTTTGAATAGGTGGGTGAACTCTGGTTAAGAAGCTTGTCCTCAGAGAAAGCCTCATTAGAGGAGCTCTGCATGGTAGCAGTGTAGGAGACTCTTGTCCTTAACTAGCAAAAGTTGTAGTTTCTGGGTAATGAAAAGCATGATCATTGAGTTGAAGGTGGTGGGGAATAGAAAGCCAGACCCTGTCAAGTGCCCATGGAATTGTGTTACAGCCACCCACAGCGGCATAAACTGAAATGACAAAAGCACAGCTCTCTGGACAGCCCTTTCGCCAGCCACCTGTGTTGTGACAGAAACAGACATGGTATTCTGTTGTACTGAGCCTGCACATGGCCACCACACTTCTTGCCTCACTGTGCCAGGCAGCCAGTACCCATAGTGTGTACATCGGACCCAACGACCAAGTCTGCCTACAGAGCAGCCGCCTCCTCCATGCTTTGGAACAGTATAGGACTTGTGAATCCCAAGAAGAATTTAGTTATGGTACAATCAGGAAATGGTATTTTTTAAGCCTGATGAGGTATTCTTTTAATCCATAACAAAATTTAGTAGCCAAACCATTTTTGTTTTTGTTTTTTTGGAGACAGGGTCTTACTACATAGTTCAGTCTGGCCTTGGACTCACTGTGTAGCCCAGGCTGGCCTCAAACTTGCACAGTTCTCCTGCCTCAGCCTCCCAAGGGCTGGGATTACAGGTGTGCACCACGACACCCAGCTGCTAAACCATTTTTAAGTGTGTGGTTCATTGACATCTAATACATTCATACTGCTGTACACCCATCACTACCATCCATCTCGAGGCCTTTGTTCATGTTGCAAAAAACTAAAATTACCTATTCAACACTAAGTGCTCATTCTTTCTGTACCAGATCCCCACCAAGCCTAGAGGTTTTAATGCCTATATTTTCATTTCACACTGTGGTCTCCTGATATTCATAGTAAAATGAATAAATAAAATTTTTCTGAAAACTTAGCCTGTCTTAGCTGTGCCAGGAGAAAGCCACCCCTGGCCCCAAACCAGAACTTCAAAGTAGGCCTTGGGGAGACCAGCATGGTGACTGCAGCAGACATGAGTGAGAGGCCCTCTAGGGATAGGAGAAGCCAAGGGGAAAGAGCAAGGTCCCCTGGGCTCACCTGCCCTCTGTCACCTGGAAATAGCTCAGAGATATCGCCAATGTAATTTGGACCCCGTGACCTGAATTTATTTCCTTTGAACTTGGAAACTGATTCTCAAGCCTTGAACTTGAGGAATCTCAGGCTATACCCACAGTAGCTCTTGGCTGTCCCATAATTCTAGACTTGAACATAGTAAAGGTTTGGTGGCATGACAGCTTCTCAGTCCCTTGATTCTATGCCTTAGGAATAAAACAGGTAAAATTGGAAGGTGCAAACAACTGAGATTAAGGGGCAGAGCGGGGAGAACTGGGAGCAACATAAATAAAAGCCACAGGTACTGCAGTGGTGCTTTTTCTCTCTGCTCTGCCTCCTGTTAACCTTGCTGCTCCTTCCATTCCCCGATGCAGACAGAGATGTCCCTTTACCTTTTATCTCTCTTGCTAATTATGAGGACACTACCGCATGCACCCTGCTTTGATCTTTGTTACGTGCCCTAATCTGAGAGAGGTTCAGATGAACCTCACAGGAAATGGGCCATTCCAAGCAGCATTGTGAGAATTTAAAATGTTACCTTTTGGATACGTGGGTTTAAGCCAGAAAATAGGGAGGTTGCCACAAAGTTCCAGGACTTTAGAACTCAGGAAACTGTGGTCCTTCACAGGCTGGTCAACAGCCACCCAGATAAGAGAGTTTTCTTCATATTTAACTGGCACGATCTTGCCTTCCTGTAAGTAAGTGAAGAATGAGATGCACTTGAGCAAAGAGGGCAGCAGAACATCCCAGGTTGCTAAAAGGTTATTTTGCCCTTTGAAGGGGAGGGTTCTGCGTGTGCATGCGCGAGTGTTTGTGCATGCACGCGTGCCTGTGAGCACTCTCAGGTTCCAACCTCTTTGTAGCTCTCTTCCAGTATTCACATGCCTCCTCCCGTGCCTGGCCCCTGAATAGCTGTAACATGTGAGTAGAAGTGTTCTGAGTTGAAGTGAAAATTACTTGATACCAACTTTGAGATTTAGGTTAATCTCATGTTTTCAATCAAAGATGTTTTTGGAGGAAAAGCAATTGAACAGGCCCTGAAATCCTATAAAAGGATAGAGGAACCTTTCATTTGAAGTGAAAATTTTTTGGGGTTTTGTTCTGAAGCTTTCAAACAACAATGGGAAAAGCAAGCGAATGGTTCTTTAATGTCGCAGTTCAAAGTATTATTTAACATAAACTGTTTCTCCATTTCCCAGCTATCACAAAACATATTTCAGATGTTCCTCACATCAAGCATGCCACTGAGATTTCAAAGCTGAATCCCAGATTTTCTTCAGCAAGCTGCTGAGAATGGTTTGATAACCCAGGAGACAAATTTATTTTTCCCAGTTGTTCCTTTCATGTATTTATTAGCTTGCAGTAGGTCCGAGAAATTAAAATGTTTTCTCCTTACTTTTAGCTAAAAGCAGCACTTCATGTACATCTCTCCCTCAGGCTTATGGTTGCATTAAAACAACTTAAAGTTATTGGAGGAAGCTAACACTCAGGTAATCCAGTTATTTACCTTAAATTAAATGGCTTCATCCAGGCGATGAGTGCTCTTGCGTACAGTAGCTTTTTAAAGTTATACAAAACTGATGAAAAATTTATGAGGGCAAAGTAGCATATAAATCTGCCCCATCATTGTGTACCGTGTGTGGGAAGAGTAGAATGATTAGGGTAGTGCATAGCGATGCCTCTCATAAGCTACGAATGTTAAATGGGTCTTGGGGTCTGTCGTTTCAGTTGCTTACTCTGTCTCTTTCCTTTTTCCTCTTCCTTGCACCACAGTCTTGCTTTTTTGGGGGTGGGGGAGGCAGCGGTGTTTCCAGCTCCAGGAGCCACTTGCTTTCTCATACTCTCCAGGGCCAGGGGTGCCTGGGTAGCCAGTGATGGCCACTGAGATCCGGGCCAAAGTGTGTTGGGGATTGTGAGGCCTGCTTCTCCTGATTAAAAGTAAGTCATGCTTGGCGCTGAACTTCTTTTTGACTAAAGAAGGGAATGTGCAGTGCCACCATGTTTGAAGTTGGAAGGAAAGACAAAGATATAAAAACCACAGAGATGCTGGCCACTAAGCCAGAGCTGCTGCCGCCTACCTCTACACTGCCTACAATGGAGAAAAGCAGATTTCTATTTGTTTAAGTTACTCTACGTTGTCTTCTACTGACAGCCAAGCATGTATTGTTTGAATTGTTTTTGTCTATCAGAAGAGCCACCATCCGCAGTGTAAACAACTAAAATAAAGGGCAGATCTACCTCTGTGGCCTAAGTATCAAATGCTGACAACAGCTGAAATACAGACACAATTCACTGTGATGGAAGGTTTTTTCAGCTATTATTTGAAATAGTGAAAAACTGGTATCTGAAGTGTCTGGGAATAAAAGACTTTGAAAATTAACATATGGTGTACTATATCAACAATAATGTACATTCTAGGAGAAATAAAGTTAAACAACAATGTACAATAGTCTAACTTATGAAAAGAATGCCACATGCATAGATACAAACAGAATATCCACTGAAACATTAACCTTCGTTACCTGTGGATTTTGCAGTTGTGGGTGATTGCATTCTCTATACTTTTATGTATTTTCCAACTTTTCTACAGTAACAAAGCATTGTTTTTAGCTGGGCGTGGTGGCGCACGCCTATAATCCCAGCACTCAGGAGGCTGAGGCAGGAGGATCATTGCAAGTTTGAGACCAGCCTGGGCTACAAAGTGTGCTCAAGGCCAGCCTGAACTGCAGAGTGAGACCCTGTCTCAAAAAAAAAAAAAAAGGTAAAGGATTGCTTTTAAAAATGGGGGAGGGGTGGTGCTACGTTTTAAAAATCTACAAAATGACTAGTTCTACTTATGACTAGTTCTGGGTAAGTTCTGGCTGGGGAGGTGGTCCTTGGAGGAGGAGGAGAAAAGAGTGAGCTCCAGGTCCATGGACGGAGACATGGCAAGGATTATAATACAGTAAAATCTTCATAGCAGGAACTGAGTGGGGTGACTATAAAGATTATGGTATATGGTAAGAGAAGTTCAAAGATCAGAGCCAGGAAGTCTCCATCCGTTTCAGCCTGGTGTTCACACCGAGAGCATGGGCTTCAATTCTGAATGGTCTAGCTCAAGAGGGACCAGACTAGAACGTGGCTGGGGAATAACTGGAGCCTTGGAGGCCTGGAAATCATCTCACAGGATGAATGTTGGGGACACAGGGAGTAGGAAAGAAAGCAGAACACATGATGGCCCACTTCAGACTAAGGTTTGTTTTTAGTTTTTGCTTTGTTTTGTTTTGAGATACTGCCTGCTGCTGCTCCTCTGGGGGCAATCAGGGAGTTTCTAGGCACCTTTGCTTATCCTGATTTTCCCTCTTGCCTTAAGGGAGCTGACACTTGCTTCACTTCCCCCTGAGGGATACTGGCAGGCTCAGAGATGGTCATAATCAAATTAACGACAATGAGCAACAGCCATCCACTCACCCTGTAGTGGATTTTAGAGCCATGGACATAGTGTGTACATTCCCCATTTGCAGATGACGAAACAGGTCCAAGGAGTTAAAATCATCCACAGCAAGTGTCAGCTGGGATTTGACTTCAGATTGTTGTCTGACTCCAAGTCCCCTTTTTTTCTCACCGTGCCAGCCAAAACTCAGTGCAGGACAGTAGCTGATGTGATCTCTGTGTAAGCCTTAAAGTATGGTAGAAATGTAAAGTACTATTGTTAAATGTGTCTTTAAAACTCTACAGTTCTTAACATTTTAAAAAAATCAAGCCTAATGGAAAATAATAGTAAATTGAATTAAAAAAAAAACCTCACAAACTGACACATAGGAAAGGAATTAAATATATGTTGTGTCGATTCACTGGGCGGGCCTTGAACTAAAGAGAAGAAATCATACAAGGAACCATCTCTGCTCAAAGATGGGCAAAACAATTAGAACTTCCCTGATGCTGAAGCTAGCTGACTGACATTGGGTGAGTCCTATCACAGCTTTCCTGTAGAAGCTGGATCATCATCAGCTGAATACGTGGAAGGAATTCCCAGGTTGCATGGGGCTGAGGCTAGAGGCCTTCTGAGGCCCCTTTCATGAAGACTGAATCGTGTGGAGTCTTTCTTGTAATGAGAATCACTGATTCACTACCATCAGGCAAATAAGGGCTATCTAAGTTCCAAGCCCAGTCACACTTTAAAGTATGGCTTTCCCAAGCCTTTTGAAAAAATATTCCCTTGGGACCAGTAGGACAGAAAGAGTTTAAATTCCTTTGGTGGAGAGAAAAAAAACAACTTAGAATCGGTCTTGAGACTCAAAGGGTTGTTCCTTCAAACTCTCTTATTTTCTAAGCACACCAGGACCCACCAGTTCGGAGGAGATGCTTTGCTTGGTCACAGCGCCAACCTCAGGAACACGAGCCTTCACCTGTGCTTTGATGTAGCACTTCTCTCCTCCCGCAAAACGGATTCCTGTGATGCCCTATGAGATAAGAATGTGTCCATCCATTCATTTAGTCAACTTACGACATGTGTATTTTGTGCCAGGCACTATTGCAGGTGCTGGGTACAGGGATGAATAGAATGTAAAATCCCATTTCTCTCAGACTTTACCATTTAGCATTATTTACCAATAATAAAAAAATAGAGAAGTCAGGTACAAATAAGTTGTGAAGCCAAGCAAGGCAGAGAAGGAGGAAAGGAACCAGGGGATGGTACTTTAGACAGCACAGTCAGGAGAGGTGACAGTTTGAGCCAAGATAGGTACGTTAGTTACTCTCTTTCTGCCTGCAAGTTCAGAAGAATTGCTCCTTTTTCCATGCGGCTTTCTGTGGAGCCCCGAGCTGAGCGAGCTCTCTTGCCTCTGACTTCAGGTAAATGCTCTGGTCTTCATCTCATTTTGCAGTTCGTCTACACTGCTTACTCAATTGTAAGCTTCTTGAACCTTACATCTGAGTTTTTTAAAAATTTATTCTTTTTGGTGATCCTACAGATGTTCTCAAAAGCTGTTAGTCAAATTAATTAAATCTATTAATTTGGGGTTTTCCTTAGTTACAAAGCCCAGAAACAGAAAAGCCTACCAAGAGCTGAAGTTCGCTCCTAGACCTTATTCAAGAACTTGATGTCTTCTTTTTTGCCCCTGTGAGATATAAACAGTGTCTCCTCCTTGTCTGCCTGGGGACTAGAATCAAGGGAAATACTGGCCACAAGGCTCCATCTTGGCTGACAGCTGGGCACTGCTTCTACCCACAGAGGATAGAAGGGGTAAGGTACGTTCCGTTCCAGAATTATTTACTTTCACACTGCTGGTTTCAGTTTCATGACAAATGAGTGGCCAAAAATAGTCTTAAAGGTTTTAAATTTTGTACCATAACAACGCAGACATCACCACAGAGCTGAATCTTGACAGCCTTCTGTTATGTTGAGACAAGTGCCAGAATAACACGGAACCAACTCCAGGATCGGTGCTAAGGACTGGGGGATGAGGGATACTTAGAAATCTAGGGATCCTGGCTCCGGATTCTGTCCTAAATGAAGAATGAAGCTAAGTGTAAGTCATGCTGGAGGAGATGCATGGAAAGTTCTACCGTGTTTGAGCTCAGCTCCAGGTGCTCTGTAAAGCTGGCAGGCACCGGCTGGTAAGTAGAGAAAAAGGTTGCCTTTTCCCTAAGTGCCTCACTGTTCACCTTGAGGCCCGACCAGCCATGTGCACACACATCACTCATTTCATCTATTTTTTCCTGGCACCAACTCGTTCTCAGACAGGCAGGGGCAGGGCCCTGCTTGGGAGGAGGAGCACCAAAGCTGGATGCAGGGCTCTGACTTCAGGCACCAAAATTCCCTGGAAAGAGTCTAACAGAACAGATGCCTGGGCCGCCTCAGAGCGTCACATTGGGGTGGTCTTGCTCAGGGCCAGCCTTGGTAGTCATAAAAGCTCCCCAGACCAGGCATGCTAGCACACGCCTGTAATCCTAGCACTTGGAAAGCTGAGACAGGAACATTGTTAGAAGTTCAAGGCCAGCTTGGGTTACATATGGAGTTCAAGGCCAGCCTGCACTACATAATGAGACCAGAAAAAGAGAGAGGTTCCTCAAGCTGTCTGTAGCTGAGGACTGCTAATCTAAAATGAAAGGCACTTGTTCAGAGTAACTAAATTTCTAAAGGACTGCACTAGCCTTTGGACCCAAGCGCCTTCCATACCAATGTCTCACAAGCTTTTGCTTGCATCAGAATAAAACACAGTGTTGGATCCCAATCCTAGAGTTTCCAATTCAGTAGGCCTAATAAAATATGCGTTTCCAGTAAGTTTTTGGATGCTGTCCTGCTGATGGCCTGAAGAACACCCTCTGCTACCTCCCAAAGTTCTGCTGTCATTATTCTGCATGTAAATCCAAGAACCATAGTTTGACAAATAGAAGGCAAAGGAGGGAGATGGCTGCCTGCCTATGTGATATGTTCTCAACTTCCAACACTCCTGTGCTGTGGTGCGAGATGTGTGGGAGGAAACACCACGCAGCCATTATTGTTCCCCCGGAGGAGACAGCTGGTTTCTCGAAGGACTAGCAGCATCATGTGAGAAGCTAGAACGGAGTTAGTGCTGACGGGCTACATGCTGCAAAGAGAGCTGAAACCCCATGGGGCTGGGACCAGTGGGAAGGAATTCACACGTATTAACCACCATGTCAAGCTAAAAATCCACATTAAATGGGCAAATATATTAAGAAATTAAACAGAAGGAACAAAAGAAGCAGAAGAAAGCCAAGTGAACCTCTTGCTTTTGCACACAAACAAGGCCTTAGATGCTAGTGATAATGAAATTTGCTAACAAAGGCAAATGATGATTTCAAAATTCTAAAGTCCTTTTACAATAGTCAGGTAATCTCAATTTAGTAGCATATTTCTTCTTTCTAAGGTAGCACATTTATTTCTGTGACATCCGGAAGGATTCCAAGGAGGATAGGAGTCCTGCACCCAAGGGCTTTTTAGAAATCTTTGGAGAAATCTTGTCACAAAGTTTGGAGTACTCCTGTCCTCACCTGGCAGTGCCCGGGGATGCTTGGTTCTGCAGAGCCTGAGGCAGACCCAAAGAACTTACTGTCGTGGGCCCAAGGAAAAAACCTGTCCATAGGTATCACTGCCTGGAAGCCAATATTTTCCATATAAACAGTGATTTTTGGCATGGTTTTAATGTACAATGCATTTCCTAAAAATGCAATCACGATGAAAATGGAAAGAAACCGGTACTTATGCTTGCTGTTTGAGAAAATCACTTAAAATTTAATTGCCAAAACACTTGCATCTGTCTGCACTTTAGGTTGTGGCCCTGGCAGTCATTCAACTACCAGTGCATATGTTTGACTTTACTATGTTTTCTAATGTATCAAGGTGAGCATTTACATATGGAGTCCATATTTTACTTTAAATGACCTTCATTTTAGTTTTCCTTTATGTTACGTTTGGGGGCTGTATTGAGTTTTGAAATCAATAACATAGTTATGCTATCCTTTTTCTCTAGCTTTTAAAATTATAAATTTTAAATATTCATAAATTAAAAGAATTATAAACACTCATATCCCCACCAGTATATTCTTTCAATTTCTAAGCAGGATGTTTGCTATTTAAACAGAGCATTATATCTGAAAGGCTTGGTCTAACCCAGCATAGATGCTTGTGAAAAACCTTCTAGAATATAACACATTAATCTGGCTTTGGTATCTTCCAGGGTACAGAACCTGAAGCATTTTTTAGTGTCCCCCCCCTCTTGGGGGCTTCTTTTTTCTCGTTGAGCTCTATTACAGTCTTGGTGGGGTTCTGGGTGAACAGGGGAGACATTCATTGACCATTCCGAACCTGTCGCAACCTGGCCCTGCCATGTCTTTGTCCTGCCGCCTCCCCCACATTTGACCACACTGGGAGCAGGACCGCACACCTTGCTCACTCTTCTTCTCAGGGCCCGGAAAGCCTCGCCCCTGCCTCCCTGCCTGCTGAAATCCAAATCATTCCTCAGGACCTGATTCAACTGTCACCACCTCTGTCAACCTGCTCAGAGCCCCTTATTGGCAGTAATGCCTCCTTGCTCTTGCACAATAAGCTCATAACTCATCACAGCAGGGCTGCTGGGCTGTCCTGCAGCCAGGTCTGTGTGCATCTACCTCCTGGGCTGGACCGGGAGACTCTAGAGGGACAAGAGTCACTTATCTTCATCCCCCATGCTTACCACTGTCCCTTGTGCACAGTGAGCTTCAATCAACCCTTCCTGAATTTGACCGATGGCTTAAAATAGAAGAGAAAGTAATAGTGCATGACCATAGAGGCTGATTCATGTGTTTTCAGAAGTCCAGGCTTGTTTAAACCCATAACAGGTACTATCCATCAAAAAAATGTTCTACTCGCCAGTTCTGGCTTAGAGAAATGTGGAAGCTATCAAAGAGAATTGATCAGTTTATAAAATATTTGTGGCCCTATTGGTCTATGAGAACAAAGCACAATCAATACCATTATTAGAAAGAGCTGAAGGATTATAAAACATATATAGGTTTGGGATTAAAATATTTTCAGAGGATATTCTGGATACATGAACATCTTGAGGGAGAGGGATCTTTTCTTATTCATCTCTGTAGCTTCCTTTGCATATGATGATATTGTGGCACATGCTAGGTATTCAGTTGTGTTTTAGATTGAATGATGTGCATGGGAAGCCACATTTTATTGGTTTATATTGAGTAGTACAAGGGAAAAAGTGCTTTTACCCTGTCCTGGGTCTTACAGTAAAAGCCTGTAATAGGTCCAGAGAAAATAATTTGCACACTGACCAGAACGATTTGCAAAGATATGACCTAACAGAATGCAGCTGAGCACAGAGCTGCAGCACCCGTCCCCAGGGCAGAGACCACTCTGAACACAGCCAGTCCTTGTCGTTACCAAACAGTGTACACCACCGCATGGCTCTAATGTCAGCATCTGCTCTGTATTCAAAAGGACTTGTGAAGTGTGTTTTAATACCAACAAGAGGAGTGCTTTCATTCAAATGAAAAGCATCTTTAGTTTTTCTCACCCATCAGAGGAAGATGGGTCGATGAGATGTTTGTGGACCGATAAACTATCAAAAAAGACATTATTTTCAAGAGCCCTTTTTCATTATGAAGTTTCACCTCCTCCATCTGCAGTTAACAAGAAAACCCCAACAGTGAGCCTCTTCCTCATCACAGCACACAAACGATAATAAGACATGTACAGCGGCCAAAGGGAAATTAGGCCTGGAGTGACACTTTGCTTTGCAGATGCACACTGAAGAGGCGCTGAATAGCTTAATGTCTCAAATTGCCTGTAAATTAAATTTCTGGGAAACAAAGCAGTCCTTTTCAAAGGAGACTTGAATGTTTTATCTGTAATAGACTATGGCCAGAAAACACAGGCTAAAATAAGGAATTTGCTCATGCTAATTTTCTGGATTAAATGAGAAGTCAGAAGAATTGAGAAAAGTATGTAAATAGATCTTACATGATTTTGTTTGTTTGTGGTACTGGGAATTGAACCCAGACCCTCCACACTGATTTGCAGCCCGTTCCTCTTCCTTCCTTCCTTCCCTTTCTTCTTTCTTTCTTTCTTTCTTTCCTTCTTCTTTTTTTTTTGGTTTTTCTCCGGTACCAGGAACCGAACTCACGACCTTGTGCTTGCCAGGCAGGCACTTTGCCGCTGAGCTAAATCCACAGCCCCTCTTTCCTTCTTCTTTTCCCCTCCCTCCCTTCCTTCTTTCCCTCCCTCCCTTCCTTCTCTCCCTCCCTCCCTGCTTGCTCTCTCTCTCTCTCTCTTTCTTTGATAGGGTTTAAGTTGCCCTGGCTGTGCTCAAACTTCTGATCTTCTTGCCTCAGCCTCCCAGAATGCTGAGATTACAAACATGTGCCACTACATCTGGCTCCTACCTGTTGTTAGTTCAGATTTCTCTCCTGTCCAGAAGTTCAAAAAATTTCAGGCTTTGCAACATTTTAGGCTACTTTGAACATTTTATTTGCCTTGTTATAGAAAACAACTTGAAAAGAGTTCTTTCAGTTCTTTCTGCCAATACTTAATATAATTCCAGGCAGAGTTTGCTTCTTTCAATAGTACTGTGACTTATTTTTCATTTTTAAAAATTGAGCTTTGCTGGGCATGGTGGTGCACACCTGTATTCCCAGCACTCCAGAGGCTAAAGCATGAGGATCACAGAAAGTTCCAGGCCAGCTTGGGCTACATAGTAGGTTCAAAGCCAGCCTGTACTGTACAGTGAGACCCTATCTCAATGCCCCCCCCAAAACAGCTTTATTTTGATTCCTAGGACTATACCTTTTATTTCCAAGAAGTAAAAATAGCTTTTCAAAATAGTTCTTGCCTTAAGTACATGGATGCAATGAAGTTGTTTTTCTTTTAATTTAATTTAATCTAATTTTCTCCTGCCTTTCTTCATCTCTCCTTCCCTTTCTCTCTCCCTTTATTCCCTTTCTCTCTCTCTCTTCTCTCCCCCCCACCCCTCCTCTCTCTCTCCTTTCTTTTCAAACAGAAACTCACTATGTTGCTCAGGCTGACCTCAAACTCCTGGGCTAAAGTGATCCTCCTATTTCAGTCTCCTAAGTAGCTGGGAGTGCAGATGTGTACCACTGTGCTCAAAGGTGGTATTGCTTTGTGTTGTTTTTTTCCCCTACAAAGGCACTGTCTTTTTCTTTTGAAAATATGAAGTAATTTTCAAAAGTGTGCACCACCATGTAGTCCTAGCACATGGAAGATTGAGACAGGAGGATCACCAAAAGTTCAAGGCCAGCCTGGGCGACAGAGTGAGTCCAGGGCCGGCTTGAACTATGTAGTAAGACCCTGTCTCAACAAAACTAAACAAAACCAAGTGTGAAGCATGTTCCTTTCTCAGAGAGAATGTGCTACCTGCACACATGGATTACTAGCACTACAAATGTGCTGAAAAAGTTACCGTGTGTGTGTGTGTGTGTGTGTGTGTGTGTGTGTGTGTGATGCTTCTTCTTCAATTGGAAAAGTCCCCCAGGCTTGTCTTGCTAAACTCTCTAAATGTAAGAAACATACTTACATTCTGGAAATCATTAACTTCAATTGCTTCTTCAGCTCCACTTCTCATTTTAAAGGTCTCCAAGTTGTTGCCAGCATCTATTTCCATTGACCCATCCTGTAATTTCCCATTGATACTCATGGTGTAATGGACATTGTAAATCTGGAAGTGAACATGAGAGTTACTGACGCCTTCTCGTTTTGGCAAGTCAAGGATTATCTTTAGATTTGTGATTGGATGAGGAGCTTTCATATTTTCAGAGATAACATGGAATCATCTTTAATAGTAATATATTTATACCTGGGGGACATCACCCACACACCAATCATTTAACACTTAATGATTCCTTAAAAATACCTTACAAGCAAAGATTTTGATAACCTCTGGTACTTATCCAAGTAGCTTAGTGGTTTGCAGTCTTGACTGTGCATCAGAAGTGGCTGAATAGATGTTCCGGGTACCACGGCTGGGTTTCACCCTGGACCAATCAAATAAAAACTTGCGAGCGTGGGTTTCAGCAGTGGTCTGTTTTCAATTTTTAAGATCAATGCTACTATGCAAGTGGGCTGAAAACTATTAATGGATAAATGGATACTGAAGATCAGGATCAAGTAGCTTTCAGTTGCAGTGGCACCTAAAAAGTGATTTTCTAAATCCTTCGGTCAAGATTTGGTAGGAAGTGTGGCACATGGTGAGGACTGCAGACAGGATCAGGGTGTCCCTACAAATGTAGAGCAGGATTTGTAGGGAGCAAGGTTAATGTGCACGTCTGTTCCAGTTCAGAAGGGAAACAGCTCTAGGAGGGGTGGGTGTAGGTGTCTAGGTCACTCTGTTATGATGAGACATGTGGCCTGTGTGGCAGGGAGGAGGCCCAGAGAACAACAGCCCAGGCAGCAGGCAAACCCTGGGCTGTACCATGTATCCCTGGGGCTTGTAGTTCCTTCCAGTGTAGGATGAAGAAGCTGGACCACACGGATGGTTTCTATCTATTTTCCTAGTGATCTGAACTGTCATAGGCCTGGCTGAGAGGTGAGGGTGATGGAACAGTGGGATGATGAGCTCCTGCTCCCCATCCACCCCACCACCTAGTGAGAGTCTCTGCTTTACATATATATATGCTTCAGAACCTTTTCAAACCTCCCTTCAAACCTCCTCCCTGCCACACAGGCCACATGTCTCATCATATATATATATATATATATATATATATATATTGTTTTTTTCTTTTTTTGTCTTTTTGAGACGGTCTCACTGTGCAGCTCAGTCTGGCCTTGAACTCACTTTGTAGCCCAGGCTGCTCTTGAACTTGCAACGATCCTCCTGCCTCAGCCTCCTGAGTGCTGGAATTACAGGTGTGCAGCACCATGCCCAGCTTCTTTCTGAGTAATATTTGTTAGAAAAATTTTACTACTTAAAAAAATTTTTTTTGTTGCTACTAAATTAAATATCCAAAAAGGCTTTCTTAGCTTAGACTTCTTATCACTATACTGGTTTAAAAATAATTCATATGCTCCTGCAACAGTTTTTAATGTGGGGTGGGAACAGTAGTGGGATTTCTCTTTTGTATTTTGGACATAGAGGCATATCTGTAGGATATTTATGTAGGATATAGGCAAATCTTTGAAGATTTATACATATGTGTGCATATACATACACATGCATAGACACATGTATAAATCTTCAAAGTGGAAAAAAATGAGCACTGATGAAAGACAGTTTCTACCTGATGTCAGATTAACCAGTCAGAACTGCAAATAGTTACCATTCAATTTAAATCTGATTTTTCTCATTATGAAGAGGGAGCTCTCCATATAACACACTGGACAACATACCTGTGGTTACTGGGTCACTACTTGGAGAAAAATCATCACTACCAGGCCCACAAAGCTCTATCGGAGGTGTAGAAAAGGCTTTGCCACCCCAGCCCTTTCTGGCAGCAGCACTCACCCCTTTCCCTCCTTCTGAGAGCTCAGATGCCTGCAGTTTACTGTCTCCCAAGCTGGCCTGATCAGAGGAACTACTTCTAGGGGTTCTGGTTAGAGCTGGAGCAGAGCCCGCCGATCTGCTTTTACTTGGCCCCTCAGGTGGGTCCTTATGAGTAGCCAGGTCTCAGGAGCTCTGTGCTTTCTGAATGTCCAGCTGAGAAGGCAGGCTCTGTAACTGCCTAAAGGAGTCTTGCCTTTCGAGTTCCTGCTGGCATGAGTGTCCTGCACTCCAGTGACAAGAGTCTATCTCTCCTCTTAAAACACTGCACATAAACATTTGCTAGTAAGGAAATCTTCCCCTCCCCT